CAGTGGGAATGGGGTACTTAAGAATGTGTGATAAAACAACAGATATTATGGAGAACGAATAAATGGTTGAATGAATGTGACTTGATTATAAAATGTCAGTAGAAAGAAATATTGAAATTGACTGGCCATATAAAAGTTCTAAATGAGGATCACATTACAAAACAACTATATGAAAAAAAAGTGAATGAAGAAAAAGAGGAAAAGGACTTCTGGCAAAGGATAGGTTTCTGCCCAGTTGTTGGGTGGATGTGACCATGATGGGCGTGGCCTGGTTGGCCTCCTGCACCATGCCAGGGGGGCAGTTTTTGCCCTTCCCGGGCTCTGGAGGCTTTCTTTGACCCTCCGGGAAGGCGAAAAATGGCCTCCCCGGGCTCCAGAAGCCATCCTGAGCCCGGGAAGGGCAGGCCCGTTTTTTGCCCTCCCCGAGCCTCCGTGCAGGCCCTGTACTTACCTGGGATCAAAAATGGGCCGCATGGAGACTCCTGGGAGGGGCAGGGCCAGCCAGAGGTGAGATTTGCCAGTTTGCCAAACCAGCCATAAAAATGATAAAATTAGGTACCAGTTCACCTGAACTGGGGAGAACTGGTAGCAGCCCACCGCTGCTTCCAACGAAGATTCGCCAGCAGCTGACAGGCCCAGAGAATATCCTCTCTCTGACCTGTCATTTTTTTCAACTCAACAACAGGAGGAACAGGTTTCCTTTTGTTTATTTGACTTTCAGAGGTTAAGGAAAGTCCCAGAATCATCCCTCAAGATCTTCTGATAAACAGCAACAGCCTGCAAGCAGTTTTAGAAGCCAGCTGACACTTGGGGTGGGGTGGGGTTGAAATCATGTCATTGTTGGATAAAACAGCCATTTTGGAATTTATTTTTCAAATGGACAATAAGCTTTGCCCTTCATTTCTTAATCTATTTTGAGACTATTATCTCTATTAGTTAAAAGAAGCTCTCTTTAGCTATAGCCTATCACTCCTTTTTGAAGTTCTGAACGCCATTTTTGAGACTTCTTTATTATTAAACGACAAAAGGGTTGCTAGAGATAGTCAAAATAAAGAAGCGTGGAGTATTTCTTCTCTTGAAGTATAAGAATAAAAGTTGTGGTTGAGTGTGCTGAGTGTGCTGAGATGAGTAGATTGACATTTGAAATTAGAGAACAAGAGGATAAACAATTTTATGAAATTTGGGATCCTTTCTATAGATGGTTGGATGATAAAACATAATAAATAGAATATTTAGAATCTTAGATAATAATGAATATATAAAGAGACATTTTTTCTCTTCTATTTGATATTATAATGTTTTTAGGATAGATCTGGTATGATTATATGATTTGCTATTAAATAAATTAAGTAAATTATAGCTATCTCGTAAAGCATGAATGAATAAAATTAGAGTCAAATGATTGTTTAATAGTGATACTAGGGTATATAATTTTTGATTGATAATATGAGTCATTATGTATAATGTAAATGTAATTGAGACTACGAAATGGATGCACACAAAAATTGGTAAACCAACCGACACACTGTTTGTATACTTATGGAAAGTTGGATGTTTTTACGTTTTGTTTGTTTTGTTTGTTTTTAAAAACTAATAAAACTTTAAAAAAAAAAAGAATAAAAGTTGTGGTTTTAATTTACTATTGTTAAAATAATCTATAGCCCTGTACTGTTTCGTTATGGGTGGTTGAAATTTTCTGATTTTCATGAACTCTGATTGGCTAGAAAAATGAATAAATGAATGAATGCATGCATGCATGAATGAATAAATAAATAAAGTTTTTGACCACTAGAGGGAACTACGAGATGTTTAACTCTGGGCTGGAGTCTGTCATCAAGGAAATCTTTGAAAAGAAATTTTTCTTTTCATAAATCAGTTAGAAGATATTAATTATACAAAGGATATTAAAAAAGAACAAGAGACACAATTAGATGTAGAAAATTATCAACCCACTGTGTCAATTTTACAAAAGCTGGACAATGCAAATAACCTAAGTGTACCTTTGGAATATAAATCTGATAATCATCTTTTTTTATGATGATGGTTTGAATATAACCCCCCCAGTGCAACAGAAACAAGAGTGCCAAATAAATTTACAACCGACAGTCATCTTAGAGAAGGAAACTTTAATCTATGAGGATTTGCTCCAGGTTAATTTACAATGTCTAACAGAATAACTTTGGGATATTGGTGGTCATAGGATGGTCTTTTATATATATATATATATATATATATATATATATATATAT